GGGGGGGAAAGCTTCGGACTCGAGGCTCGAGGAGGTTTAGAGGGTTTTCGCCGGTTCTTGGCGGTCTTCCAGCCTCGGGATGCTCTCCAGCGGCTGCGCCTCGCCGAGAGCGTTTCGGCGGTGCCCGGATCGTCCCGAACGGTCGCTGGATAGCCGAGTTGTGACCCGACAGTCAGAGGGCAATGCCAGCGAGGGATTTGTGATGGGCGTGTTTTCCACCGCCACCATAAGTTGGAGGGGGAGGGGGTCCTCCTCCTCCTCCTCCTCCTCCTCGCCCTCCTCCTCCCTCCCCCCTCCACCTTATGGTGGTGGTGGTGGACAACAGGCTCATCAATTTGGCTCAGGGGGGAATCAATCGGCCCTGGATCGCCAATCCATCGCCGACATGGGGCCTGACTACGGGGGGCCTCGCGCCGAACTATTGGCGATGTATTGCTGGCACCAGGTCGACGTCTCACCGCATGAGCAGTCCCCCCCGAACGTTGCCCATCAGGGTGTCGTCGGAACTCTTCCCGAAACCATCCTGAGCCGCAGTGCCCAGAGAGCGAAGCGACACGGGCGAGAGGTCAGAGGCAGCTTGGCAGTCTGGGGCTTCTTGGGCGCTCCCCCGCTGGAGCACCTCCGTCCTTGCCGAGCGGAGGTCAGCAGGGGAAGGCGGGCGGACGTGGGGAGGGGGGGGGATGACGTGCGGACGGGGAGGACGGAGGAGACGAGGAGCAGGGAGCGGAGTGGGTGGGCGGGACGAGGGGACGACGGGGAAGCTCAAGGGGGGAGGGATGTGCGCGAGGTATGAGCCGGAGGTCCACCACCCACCAAGCCCCCCCAACCCGACGCGAAGGCTCCCATTTGCCCTCCATTCCCAGTGGGGAGAGTCGTCGGGGAGCATAGAAAAAAACACGCGTGGAACCCTTACCCTCCTCCTCCTCCTCCTCCTCCTCCTCCTCCTCCTCCTCATCCTTCTCCCCCAGCCCGCATTCTGGGTCTGCGGGTTGGGCTGGGGTGTCTTGGTAGGTATAGTCAGAGTCAAGGCGGGCGCACGCGCTCTCTCTCTCTCTCTTCTCTATCTCTCTGCCTTCGCTGCCGCCGCGGGCAGGACGAGGCGGAGGCGGCGAGGCGGCGCCGGCGAGAGGAGAAGGAGGCCGCCGAGGCCGAGAGGAAGAGGCGGTCGGCCACGCGCAGAGCGGGGCAGGGGGAGGGGTGAAGGCTTTTTAGAAGCACCCCTGCTTCTTAGAAGGGGCGGGCCTAACTTTTAGATGTAAGTCCGACAGCTTCTAAGAAGAAGCCTCCTTCTAAGAAGCCTTCCCCCCCCTGCCTACCCCCTTGTGCGCGCCGCTAAGGCGGGAGGAGGCGCTCGAGCAGGAGGAAGAGGAGCTCCGCGCCTTCCCCGCGGGCCTCTCGGGCAGCCTTCGGGGGATCGGGGTTATCGCTGGGGGGTCGGGCTCAGAGAGGAAGTTTCGGACTCGAGGTTCGAGGAAGTTCAGAGGGCTTTCGTCGGTTCTCGGTGTGGCCCCCAGGGTGCTGGAGCTGGTGCCCCAGCAAGGTGTCCGATCTAGGTCGAAGAAGGAAAACGGCATAACCGTAAATTTTTGGCGCTCCGCGCGGATTTCTTGGACCAGCGCCTGGGCGCCCTTGGCGGCCCGCGCGCCAGGGAGGGGGGTTCAGCGCAGATCCAAGAAATCCAGGCGGAGCGCCACAAGTTTATTTAATCCCTTCGCTCATTCGCCGGCCCTGGAGCGCTATTCGGGGCCTCTTGGGGCCGTCTTGGGGGCCTCTTGGGGGCTTCTTGGGAGCGTCTTGGGGCTCCTTGGCGGCGTCTTGGGCTCCCCCGTGGCCTCTTAGGGGGCTCTTGGGGGCCCCTTGGGGCGGGAGGGGGGGTAGTAGTTCTGCCGTTCATTCTTGTTCTAATCCAGGGGGCCTGCCCTGCCAGATCCTGGAACCCGGAGGGTACTCGGTCGGATGCCCAGGCGCAGGGCCGACTCCGCCGCTTGGCCCAGGGCGGGTGCTGCCAGAGGTGCCCCTGGCCCAGGGGGGTCCCCCGGATTTCCCGGGAGGCTCCCACGGCCTCCAGGGCGCCCCTCACGAGGCTCACAGGGCCCTCGTGAGCTCCCACACGGTGCAAGACGCTGGGGGGACACCTTGGGCCAGGGACACCTGCGGCCCCCCCAGAACCGGAGGCGCGCGCCGCGGGATCTCTGGGGCCCGGGGGCGCAGGGGCGGCACCTTTTTGGGAAACGCTGCTGCCAGTGGCAGCTTTGAGGAGGGATGGGCTCAGGTGGGGAAGCTTCGGGCTCGAGGCTCGAGAAGGTCTGTAGGGCCCTCGTGCGCTCCATGGTGCAAGGCGCTGGGGGACACCTTTGGCCAGGACGACCTTCGGCAATCCCGAACGGGAGGCGGCGCCCCCCAGGATCTCTGGGACCCGGGTGCAGGGGCAGCACTTTTTTGGGAAACGCTGCTGCCAGGGGCAGCTTCGGGGAGGGATGGGCTCAGGGGGGGGGAAGCTTCGGACTCGAGGCTCGAGGAGGTTTAAAGAGGGTTTTCGTTGGTTCTCGGCGGTCTTCCAGCCTCGGGATGCTCTCCAGCGGCTGCGCCTCGCCGAGAGCGTTCTGGCGGTGCCCGGATCGTCTCGAACGGCCGCCAGAGAGCCGAGTTGTGACCCGACAGTCAGAGGGCAATGTCAGCGAGGGATTTGGTGCAGGGGGGAATGCATCGACCCCCAATTGCACACTGATCACCGATGGGGGCCCGATAGCCCACCCCGCCCAGGAACGTGGGGTTCTGCTGTCGGACGCCTACCGCCGATCTATCGGCAAGGTATCGCCGATTCCAGGTCGATGCTTGCCCCCCTGAGCAGGTTCCTCTCCTAACGTTGCCCCTCGTTATGGCTTTCCGAGACGGTCTCTGGAACCTCTAGGGTTTGGGACGAGAGCGGTGGGCGGGGAAGGGGAGGAGGGAAACGGGTTTTCGCCCCGTCACCATTCAGCTTGCTCGACACATGGCCGCCTCCAGCGCCAGGAGACGCGCTCAGACGGCGTGGTGACCACCCCGCGCGGCGAGTCCGTGGGGATCCGGGGCCACTGCGCGACTTTGGGGGCCTCGGGTCGTTCTCCGAGGACGTCTCCTTGGGGGGGGGGCGGGCGTGGACGTGCAGAGCGCGTCGTCCGCCCCCGAGTCCGCCACGTGACCTCCTCCAGGGCCCCCCCCCGAGTCCTCCTTCTGGTCCGCCTCCTCGCCCTCCCCCCCCCTCCTCCTGCCGGCCTGTCGGCCTGCCCCTGCCCCTCCTCCGCCGCCTCCTCCTCCCTCCTCTTCTTCCTCCTCCTCCTCCTCTTCCTCCTCCTCCTGCTTCTCCTCCTCCTCCTCCTCCTGCCCTCCTCCTCCTCCTGCTCCTCCTCCTCCCTCCTCCTCCTCCTCCTCCTCCCCCTCCCCCTCGCTCCTCCTCCTCCTCCTCCTCCTCCTCCTCCTCCTCCTCCTCCTCCTCCTCCTCCTCCCCTCCTCCTCCTCCTTCCTCCTCCTCCTCCTCACTCCTCCTCCTCCTCCTCCTCCTCCTCCTCCTCCTCCTCCTCCTCCCCCCCCGTGCCTCGGCCATGGGGGGGTGGTCCGCGGCCATCGCGGCCCGGCTTTAGGCTGGGGACGTTGGCCCTGGGCGCGCTGGCCTGCCAGGCAGCCATCTGGCGGGCAGGCAGCCACCTCTGGCGCCAGGACATTGGGGTGCTTTGGTACGGTAGGTTTGCGTCGTGTCGACCAGCGGCGACCCCCAGCGCGGGCGTTCAAGGTTGAACGCCGCCGGCGACCCAGAATCGATCGATGTTGAACGATCGGACGTTGCGGCAGCGGCCGATCGTTCAAGGTTGAACGATCCCTGCGGTGTCAAAAACCAACGCTGGGGTCGGCACGACACGAACCTGCCGTAGCAAATCATGGGAGCCTTGTGTACCCTCGTAATTCTGTCTTCAGCGCCGGCTAGCGTCTGGGCGTCGACGAGATGGCGCCGATTTAGCGTCGGCTCAGCGTCGATGAGCGTCGATTTAGCGTCGACTAGCGTCGGTTCAGCGTCGACTAGCGTCGATTCGCAAGAGCCGACAAGGTGGCAGGGGAGGCTCCCATGAGTTGCCACCGACACGTGCGGGGCGCACAGGGAGGCCCACCGCGCAGAGCAGGCAGCGCCAGCGGCGGGCTGCCCCTGCTCTATTTCGGAGGAGGGAGAGGTGCCCGTGCCTCTGCCCGTCCCTCGCTTTCCCTTTTTTGGGCCTCCTCTTCCCCCTCCTTCTCCTCCTCGTCCCCTCCCCTCTTCCTCCCCCAAGCGATCGCCATCGCTGCCCCTCCATCTCCCCTCCAACCTCCGAGCGACCGCTATCGCTATGCCAAGGCTGCCTCCATTCTCACTCTCATAGCGCGCGCGCACCGCGGCGGCCCGAGGTGCGGCCACGGCGCGCCCCGCGCGCGGGCGCCACCGCTGGATTCGCTTCGAAGTTCTGGTCAGACCGCACCGCGGGAGGGGGTCTGGGGAGTAGCGGTATTGGTGCCTTTTGGTTTCCCCGTGTATGCCCCCCCCCTCAGCCGCACCCCCTCTACCGGGGGTCCACTTCGACCCGATCGATCTGGTCCGATGCCGATTCCGGCCGGCCCGACCCGATTCGCTTCCGATGCCCCGACGGTCCGATGCGACTCGGTGCTTCCATGGTGCTGCTGTGCACCCTGGCGCAGCCGATCCGGTCTGATTTCGACTCCGTGCCGATGCCGCCCGACCCGATGCGCGTCGGTCCGATGTTGACGGATCCTGCCCCCTGGGGCCTCGCCGAGGAGCGCAAGAGGAGGGAGAAGCAGGAGAAGCTGGAGGCCAAGGACGCCGGGGCACCCCCCCTTCCCACCAGCGCGCGGCGCGCGCGAGCGCAGCGCCGAGGGTGGGCGCGGGCCGCCAGCGCCAGGCGAGGGAGCCCTCCCGCCCGCTCTCCCGCTCGCTATGTCTCTGCCGCCTCCTCGCCGCGCTCGGGGCTCTCCTGCGGCCTCCTCGGGGCCTGCGGAGCCGTCTAGAGGCCCTGCGGGACGGCCTGGAGCGCTCTGGGGGCCGCCTCGGGCCCCCCCCTCCCCTCCCGCATATACCTTCTTGGGTCTTGATCCCTCAATGGGGCTTTTTTTTAGGGCCTCTGGGGTAGTTGTTTTGACTTCTCGGGGGCCTCTTGGGGCCCTGTGGGGGCCTCTTGGGCGCCTCTTTTGGGCCCGCCGGGGGCCTCGTGGGGCCTGCTGGGCGCCTCTTGGTGCGGAAGGCACTTATCTTGGTTCATGTTGCCCTCTTGGACTGCTCTTGGGGCTGTCTTGGGGCGCTCTCGGGTCACCTTGAGCGCCTCTTGGGCCGTTTCGGAGCTCTCGGGCCGTCTTGGGGCCGTTTTGGGTCTTGTGGGGCCGTTTTGAGGCGGTCTTGGGGGCGTCTTGGGACGTCATGAAACGCTGGAAGCTCCAAAAGTCGAAAACCCCCAAAGCATTGAAAAAGCGAAGGCGCATTCAGGATTTTGGCCTCTCGGGGCCCTCTTGGGGAGGCTCTCGTGGCTCTTTTGGGGCGTCTCGAAAGCTTCCTGGGCCGTTTTGAGGCCATCTGGGGCGCCAGGGTACCGCCCTCTCACCCCGTCTTGGGGCCCTCCTGGCTCCGAAAGAGCCATGCGGGAACATTAGGGCGAACCCAGAGGGTGCGCCCAGATTCGTGATTTTGGGGTCCGGGCCCTAGGAGGAGGAGGAGGAGGAGGAGGAGGAGGTGGAGGAGGAGGAGGAGGAGGAGGAGGAGGATGAGGAGGAGGAGGAGGAGCCGATAGGGACAAACATGCGTGCGCCCTGCTCTTCCATTCAGCCTCAGTCGCCGCTGTCGCCTTTCACCTCCTCGCTTGGGTGCTCCATGTCTTCCTTGTTGCTTCCTCCCATTGCCCCCCTGGCTGGCCGCAGATTCCTCACGCTGTGCTGTCTTTCATCGCAAGTGATTGCACATCCAGCGTCGATTCGTTGAGTTTTTCCCAACCATCCTGTGGTGTTGGGTCCTCATTTTGAAGAGACGGTGCCCCGCGTCTCCTCTCCTTCCTCCTCCTCCGCCTCCTCCCCCCTCCCTCCTCCCTCCTCCCACTATCACGGCACACCCCTCACACGTTTCGTGGCCCCATAGGGAGCTCTACCGAAGGCCCCAGTGGCTGCGTTCGCATGGCGGCGCCGCACCCATTTCGGCACCCCTCACACGTTTCGTGGCACCATAGGGAGCTCCACCGAAGGCCCCAGTGACTGCGTTGGCATGGCGGCGCCGCACCCATTTCGGCACACCCCTCACACGTTTCGTGGCCCCATAGGGCGCTCCACCGAAGGCCCCAGTGGCTGCGTTGGCATGGCGGCGCCGCACCCATTTCGGCACACCCCTCACACGTTTCGTGGCCCCATGAGGGAGCTCCACCGAAGGCCCCAGTGGCTGCGTTGGCATGGCGGCGCCGCACCCAATTTGGCACACCCCTCACACGTTTCGTGGCCCCATAGGGAGCTCCACCGAAGGCCCCAGTGGCTGCGTTGGCATGGCGGCGCCGCGCCCATTTCGGCACACCCCTCACACGTTTCGTGGCCCCATAGGGAGCTCCACCGAAGGCCCCAGTGGCTGCGTTGGCATGGCGGCGCCGCGCCCATTTCGGCACACCCCTCACACGTTTCGTGGTCCCATAGGGAGCTCCACCGAAGGCCCCAGTGGCTGCGTTGGCATGGCGGCGCCGCACCCATTTCGGCACACCCCTCACACGTTTCGTGGCCCCATAGGGAGCTCCACCGAAGGCCCCAGTGGCTGCGTTGGCATGGCGGCGCCGCACCCATTTCGGCACACCCCTCACACGTTTCGTGGCCCCATAGGGAGCTCCACCGAAGGCCCCAGTGGCTGCGTTGGCATGGCGGCGCCGCACCCAATTTTGCACACCCCTCACACGTTTCGTGGCCCCATAGGGAGCTCCACCGAAGGCCCCAGTGGCTGCGTTGGCATGGCGGCGCCGCGCCCATGTCGGCACACCCCTCACACGTTTCGTGGCCCCATAGGGAGCTCCACCGAAGGCCCCAGTGCCGCCGCCCGCATGCGTCAGTTACACCCAATTCGGCACACCCCTCACACGTTTTCGTGGCCCCATAGGGAGCTCCACGAACACGGCCTCAGCGACTGCGTTGGCATGTGCGGCGCCGCACCCATTTCGAGCACACCCTCAACACGTTTCGGTTCGGTGGCCCCATGGGAGCTCCACCGAAGGCCCAGTGGCGGCGTGGCCATGGCGGCGCTACCGCACCTTTTCGGCACACCCCTCACCCGTTTCGTGGCCCAATAGGGGCTCCACGACGGGCCCGTGGCTGCGTTGGCATTGCGGCGCCGCGCCCATTTCGGCACACCCCTCACACGTTTCGTGGCCCCATAGGGTGCTCCACCGGGAAGGGGCCCCAGTGGGCTTTCGTTGCATGGCGGCGCCGCACCTATTTCGGCACGCCCCTCACACGTTTCGTGGCCCCATAGGGAGCTCCACCGAAGGCCCCAGTGGCTGCGTTGGCATGGCGGCGCCGCACCCATTTCGGCACACCCCTCACACGTTTCGTGGTCCCACAGGGAGCTCCACCGAAGGCCCCAGTGGCTGCGTTGGCATGGCGGTGCCGCACCCATTTCGGCACACCCCTCACACGTTTTTCTATTTTCCCCCCAGACTTTGGCCCCATAGGGAGCTCCACCGAAGGCCCCAGTGGCTGGTTCGCATGCCTCCCCACCACCCATTTCGGCACACCCCTCACACGTTTCGTGGCCCCATAGGGAGCTCCACCGAAGGCCCCAGTGCTACCGCCCTCATGCGTCCCGTACGCCCAGGACAGCGTTTCGTGGCACGCCTTTCGTGGCCCCATAAGGAGCCCCACCGAAAGCGGCACCCACAAAGCGTTGTTCACAATTGCATATGGTTGGGGCCTTCGCCAGGATAATTTGACCGCAGAAGGCCCCCCCCACTTCGGGGTGGCGTCGTGTGGAGGAAATGTTGAGCGGGAGCCCCGTTTCTGCTTTCAGAAGGCGATGTTGCAAGCATAGCCAGCGGGTGCTCTCCATCAGCCCCGCTTTGTGGTGAGCTTTTCGGGGAGCCCATGGAGTTAAACATGCAGCCGCGACTCCAGACAGGCCCAAGCCCTTCGGAGACGATCCACTTACCCTCCAAGGAACCCAGTGCCCTGCCATGACGTGCTGTCCAGTGTTCTGTTCTGCGCGGCTGCGCGATGCCGTGCTTTGCATTGCACTGCTTTGTGATGCAATGCTTCACTACGCAATGCCACGCTGCCATGCTATAACATTCTACGCTCTGCCATGCTCTTCTACGCTATGCCATGCCGTGCTCTACGATGCATCGCGCACCCTCTCGCGATCATTGCCCTGCTCGACATCCGACTGTGCGAATAGAGAGAAGATCTACGCCATGGTCAGGGATGGGAGGGAGTAGTGGGACGTCAGATCTGACGCGAGCGCGCCTAGCTTGCCCTCACCCCCTCTCCCCTTCCCCTTGCGACTGCTCCCCCGCGAATGTTGCTGTCCTTTCGCTAGAAACATCCTCGCAACTCTGGATTCCGAGATGCCTTGCCGCAGAGTAGTCCGCCACTTTCACCTGAGACATCCTCGCAATTTTGGATTCAGGGATGCCCTGAGCTCATGTGTTCAGGCCATTTTCGTTCGAGACATCCTCGCAATTCCGGGGCAGGGAATCCACGACAGAAGTGGTTGACACCAAACTTGAGCTGTGCATCGAATCCACGGGCAACGCGTGCAGTTTTTGCATGCGCGCGAACGTGCTATGCATGTGTTCGCAGATTCGACGAAGCAATTTTGGGGCAAGGTCATTCCGTGGACGTTCCCGCACTCGAGGGGGGTCCCGTCCCAGGGGCGGGCCTTTTCTCCCCGAGCCGGTCTGCGGGGTGGAGATCATCCCAAAAACCTTAGGGACCTCAATGATTTGGGCCTCTTCGGGCCCTCCTGGAAGACCTCCTGGAGGCCTCTTGGGCCGTCTTGGAGGCCTCGTGGGGGCCTCTTGGGTGCACCTTGGGCCGTCTAGAAGGCATCTTGGGGCCATCTTGGCCGTCTTGGAGGCCGTCTTGGGCGTCTTGGAGGCCTCTGGGGCCGTCTTGGGGTCCTCTTTGGGCCCTCTTGGGAGCCCTGGAAGGCTTCTTGGGGCCATCTTGAAGGCCATCGATCAACGGAGGAGCGGGGATAACGTTCAGCCCCCCCCCAAAGAGGCCAACATGGGGCCAGAACCTTAGTAAAACCAATGATTTTGGCGCCCAGAGGGCTGGTGGGATAACGTTCAGCCCCCCCCCCAACGAGGCCAGAATGGGGCCAACACCTTGGTAAAACCAATGATTTTGGCGCCCAGAGGGCTGGTGGACAATTTTTCAGCCCCCCCCCAAAGAAGCCAAAATGGGGCCCACAACCTTAGTAAAACTAATGATTTTGGCTTCCTCGCCGAGGCCGTCTTGGACGCCCTGACACCTCGCGGGGGGGCCCGGAAAAGTCCAGGGGAGGGGTAAGGGGAGGGGGGTAAACCTCTCCCCGTAGGGGAAGAGGGTGTTTTTTGGAAGAGGGAGGAGGAATCTCGTTACACCACCTGTCGCCAGGGCTGGTGGGATTCCTTCACGGCGCAAGCGGGCCTGGGTTCGCAGCAGGTCCCGGTCCTCCTGGCGGCCGCCCGTCCCTGCCGCGGGCTTGCCGGCGAGGAGCGCCGCAAGCGCGAGTACGAGGAGAGGCAGCAGCAGCTGCAGAAGAAGAAGGAGGCGCCGCCAGAGGCAGGGCGCCCCCCTGGGGCCCGCGGCCCCGGGACACTTAGCGGACGAGAAGCGGAACAGTTTACTTCATACCCGTCTTCGTCCCCGAAGATCTGTGTATATGAATGTGTGCATGCATTGTCTGTCTGTCTGTCTGTATGTGTATATGGATGCATGTGCGTATGCATGCTTGCATGCATGCATGTCTTTCTGTCTGTCTGTCTGTCAGTATGTACGTATGTCTGTCTGTCTGTCTGTCTGCCTGCCTGCCTGCCTGCCTGTCTGTATGTATGTATGTATGTATGTATGTATGTATGTATGTATGCATGCATGCATGCATGCATGCATGCATGCATGCATGTATGCATGTATGTATGTATGTATGTATGTATGTATGTATGTATGTATGTATGTGTGTCTGTATGTATGTATGTATGTATGTATGTATGTATGTATGCATGCATGCATGCATGCATGCATGTATGTATGTATGTATGTATGTATGTATGTATGTATGTATGTATGTATGTATGTATGTATATATGTATGTAATGTATGTACGTACGTATGCATGTATGCATGTATGCATGTATGCATGTATGCATGTATGCATGTATGCATGCATGCATGCATGCATGCATGTATGTATGTATGTATGTATGTATGTATGTATGTATGTATGTTTGTATACTATGTATGCATGCCATGTATGTGTGTATGTATGTATGCATGTATGTATGTATGTATGCATGTATATGTTTAGGTATGGTTGTATGCATGCATTTATGTATGTATATATGTATGCATGCATTCGTGCATGTATGTATGTATGTATGCATACATGCATGCATGCATGTATGCATGTACGTATGTATGTATGTTTGTAGGTATGTATGTATGTGTTTATGTATGCATGTATGTATGCATGCATGCATGCATGTATGCATGCATGTCATGCATGTATATGTATGTATATATGTATGTATGTTTGTTCGTTTGTTTGTTTGTCTGTCTCTCTGTCTGTCTGTCTGTCTGTCTGTCTGTCTGTCTGTCTGTCTGTCTGTCTGTCTGTCTGTCTGTCTGTCTGCATGCATGCATGCATGCATGTATGTATGCGTGTATGTATGTATGTATGTATGTATGTATGTATGTATGTATGTATGTATGTATGTATGTATGAATGAAAGAGCGCGTTCTGTGGTCGTCGCTTGGAGGGGGGGGGTTTGGAACCGGACCGCCCCCCCTGGATGGAGGGGGCGGAGGGGTTCGAAACCCCCCGCCTTCCCGTGACGGGGGGGGGGGTTCGAAACCCCCCCCCCCCCTACCCCCCCTTTTCCCTCCTCCCTCTCCTCTCTCCTCGGGCCGGCGCCTGCGTCGGCGGCGGCTGGCGGCGGCGGCGACGACGATTTCCTTTTCTGGGCCGGCGCCGGCGCCTGCGGCGGCGGGCTGCGGCGGCGGGGAGCGTCGACGAGGACAACGGTGGTGGTAGTGGGTTGTGGTGGTGGTGGTGGCGGTGGTGGTGGTTGTGGTGGTGGTGGTGTGGTGGTTTGTTGTGGTGGTGGTGGTGGTTGTGGTGGTGGGTGGTGGATGGTGGTGGTGGTGGTTTTGTGGTGGTGCGGTGGTGGATTGTGGTGGTGGTGGTGGGTTGTGGTGGTGGTGGTGGTGGTGATGGTTTGATGGTAGTGTGGTGGTGGTTTGTGGTGGTGGTGGTGGTGGGTTGTGGTGGTGGCTGTGGTTTGTGGAGGTGGAGTTGTGGTGGTGGTGGTGTGGTGGTTTGTGGTGCTGGGTTGTGCTTCTGGTAGTGGTGGTGGTTGTGGCGGTGGTGGTGGTGGTGGTGGTGGTGGTGTGGTAGAATGTGGTGATGGTGGTGGTAGTGGTGTTTTTCAAAGCGTGAATTACCTACCCCGCTTTCGCTTCCAGGCAAAACCAAGTCATACAACGCGCCTCCTCGTCAAGCGGCCTGACCAGTACAGGGCGTTGTTTGGCATCGCTTGGTATCTCTTGGAAGCGAGGGTGGTCAAAAACGAGGTAGGTCTGTTTGCCCCCTAGTTTTGTTTTTTTGGTGGTGGTGGTGATGGTGAGTTGTGGTGGTGGTGGTTGTGTGGTGGTGGTGGCTGTGGTGGTCGTGGTGGTTGTGTGGTGGGTTGGTGGTGGTGGTGGTGGGTTGAGGCGGTGGTGGTGGTGGTAGTGGTGGTGGTGGTGGTGGTAGTGGTGGTAATCGTCGCTGCGTCCCCGCCGTCGCCGGCGCGAGCGCCGGCGCTGCTGGCCGCCGCCAGCGACAGGAGGGGGGGGTGTTCAAGCCCCCACCCCCTTCGGCTGCCTCTGGTCATCGTCGTTGCGTCCCTGCCGTCGGCGCTGCTGGCGGCCGCCAGCCCTGGCGCTGGGGGGGCGGGCTTTGAACCCCCCCCCGTTTGGGAGAGGGGGGTGGGTTCGGGAGAGGGGGTTTGGGGGGGAGGGGGGTCCCCCTGGTTTTGATCGACGGCGCCGAGTGTTAGGGGGAGGCCCACCCCCCGGTTCGAAACACGCCGCCGAATGTTCCCAAGGCAAGCGCCCGTGAAACGCGCTCTCTCGTATGTATGTATGTATGATGGATGGATGGATGGATGTGCGTATGTACGTTTGCATGTATGTATGTACGTACGTACGTACGTATGTATGTATGCGTGCATGCATGCATGTATGCAAATCTATGTGCATACATATTTGTGCATATGTGTATACATCTA